CTTAATAACAATTTGAATCAAGTGTAATATATAGTTTTTCATTATTACTTCAAATTAATGTAGTATACAAATGAACTACTTTGTCTTAGTTATGGGCTTTGTAATGGTTATGGGCTTTTGTTTTCTCTAATATTTTACCTATAGGACAATGTGCTCGTATTTAACAGCATCTCCAATGTTGAGGTGCAGAAAGTGATTCTCCAACATTCTGTTATCTAAAAGAACAGAAACTTTCGTGACTCATCTTTGGTCTTACAATTTCACATTCACGAAATCACCATTACTTATTTAAAAAAGTTTTAAGTATTGTCTTTAGAACTAAAAATGAATTGAAAATCTTATATTATATTGAATAAAAAAAAGTAATATAAAAAAATAAGATTCATAAATATTAAATATTAATATGTTAGAAGTATAGAAACATATACTAAAAAAGAATAAAAAAAGAATGTCCCCACATTTCATTAATTTGAAAATTGCATAATGACAATTTATATACATGGGAAACACCAATTACACATAAACAAAAATAACATTAACATTCAAATTTTATAATTCTAATTAAGTCTCTTAAATTGCTAAATCTCTAAACTTTTATAGCCTTGGTAAACATATCAGATTTGTAATATTCAAGCTTTCCATTGTTGATTTATTCACATATAAAGTGAAATTTAGTTTCAATGTACTTGTTTCTTCCATGGGAGGCTGGGTGTTTAGTCAAATCTATTGCAAATTTGTTATCCAAAAAAAGTTATGATTGCTAAACCAAATATGCTTTTAACTCCTTTAGCAACATTCCAAGCCAAGTATCATGACAAACAACTTGTAATGTTGTTATATATTCAACCTCACAAGATGACAATGTCATTGCAGGTTCTTTTGTTCAGTTCTAAGACATGGGGTTCCTCCATAATAGAACACATACCTAATAGTATTTTTCATGTCCTCCTTGTCCCCACGCCAATCAACATTAATGTAGTCCACTGACCTTTTTTTATGAACTCGCCTCCAAGCTCATAGTCGCGTGAATTAAATTAAAGTCAGATTGATACGGAAGCAATAAAGAATATGAAGCTCAATACGACCTCGATACTACTTGATGGCTCACGGATGGCCATGGTGCTTGTGGTGATGAATGCAGCAAAATGAGAAAGTGATATATGTGGTTTGGTGTGGTGAAACAAAAACCCAAAGAAGGTTAAACCTAACTAGGGGAAGGGTTTCATTATTGTATTTTGTGATATATGCAGCAAGCCCTCATGGCATTTACATGCTGTATTTTGTCAAAATATTCTAATATGGTTTCATTCTTTTCCATAGTCAGAAATTCGAATTGTCTACGTAAGGTTTGAAGTTTTTCCCTTCCTATTTTTGTCACCATTATATTTTTTTATCAAAATCTCCCAATCCTCCTAGGCAATAGCAACCTTCAAGATTTTGTTGAAAATCTTGGGACTGACACATTGATAAATGGTGAATCTTGCTTTACTATCCATCTTCTGTTGTGCCTCGAAATTTTTCTTCTCTTTATCTATGGATTTTGCATCAGGAACTTCAATCTAGATGGTGACTACTTCAGCTACATCTTGGAAACCGAAAATGGCTAGCATCTTGATATTCATCAAGCAACTTGTAATTACTAAAAAATACTAAAGGGAGTTGACTAGTGTTTTGGAAACTTTTTCACAAATGAGTGCTCAACAACTTTTGGTGAGAGTTAAATAGTTTACACAAGTTGTTAAACACTTGATTTATACGACACTATTTCCAATGCAACATGTTTAGAGGAAAAGTATTCTTAGGGCGTTTCGCAAGGCTTATGCAATAATTGAGAAAGACAATTCTTAAGAAAGATAACTTTTAGTGACAAGAGCACATATCAATGGTTGAGTTAATAAGTGTTTATAATGTGGGTACGTTGTCTACTAAGTTTCACCTATTGTTGATTTTCACTAGACAATCTGGGTATGTTGTCTGCTAAGTGTTTAATTCAACTGAGTCAACTAACAAGTGTTTGAATTCTCTCTAGAATATACAATCAATTAGATTATTTACAAGTCTCAGACAATTACTCTCACAAAGAGGATGTGTTTATAATACAACTCAATCTAAAAGACCTTGTGGATTTTTTTTCTCTTCTTACAAATGTAAGNAAACAAAAACCCAAAGAAGGTTAAACCTAACTAGGGGAAGGGTTTCATTATTGTATTTTGTGATATATGCAGCAAGCCCTCATGGCATTTACATGTTGTATTTTGTCAAAATATTCTAATATGGTTTCATTCTTTTCCATAGTCAGAAATTCGAATTGTCTACGTAAGGTTTGAAGTTTTTCCCTTCCTATTTTTGTCACCATTATATTTTTTTATCAAAATCTCCCAATCCTCCTAGGCAATAGCAACCTTCAAGATTTTGTTGAAAATCTTGGGACTGACACATTGATAAATGGTGAATCTTGCTTTACTATCCATCTTCTGTTGTGCCTCGAAATTTTTCTTCTCTTTATCTATGGATTTTGCATCAGGAACTTCAATCTAGATGGTGACTACTTCAGCTACATCTTGGAACCCGAAAATGGCTAGCATCTTGATATTCATCAAGCAACTTGTAATTACTAAAAAATACTAAAGGGAGTTGACTAGTGTTTTGGAAACTTTTTCACAAATGAGTGCTCAACAACTTTTGGTGAGAGTTAAATAGTTTACACAAGTTGTTAAACACTTGATTTATACGACACTATTTCCAATGCAACATGTTTAGAGGAAAAGTATTCTTAGGGCGTTTCGCAAGGCTTATGCAATAATTGAGAAAGACAATTCTTAAGAAAGATAACTTTTAGTGACAAGAGCACATATCAATGGTTGAGTTAATAAGTGTTTATAATGTGGGTACGTTGTCTACTAAGTTTCACCTATTGTTGATTTTCACTAGACAATCTGGGTATGTTGTCTGCTAAGTGTTTAATTCAACTGAGTCAACTAACAAGTGTTTGAATTCTCTCTAGAATATACAATCAATTAGATTATTTACAAGTCTCAGACAATTACTCTCACAAAGAGGATGTGTTTATAATACAACTCAATCTAAAAGACCTTGTGGATTTTTTTTCTCTTCTTACAAATGTAAGCTTATGACTCTATGAAGCTCGAGAGTATGTTCTTAGAATTTTTGTTCTTTCACGAGTAAGAGTATTGCTTTTCAAATATTCTTTATGTTGTTCGTATGCCTATTTTCTTGATCTTCTCTTCAAATGATCTTCAATTTATATGCTTCATGAGAAAATATTCGTTAGATATTACTTGTTTTTAATCTTCTGATCTTCATAGCCTTTTCGTAGGTAGAAGCCATAGGTTGAAGTCAACGTGTCAAAGCATACATATTTCTTTAGTACTTTAACCAAAGTATGTTGTATGAACCTTTCAACACGACTTTTAATGGAGAGAACATTTTGTGAATATCTCTTTTATCTCTATCGTCCACTTCTAACTTGTATATGATGGAGCAGATGGATTCTTGAAATAGACAACTGCAAAGAGTAAAGTAGATATGCATGGAGACAAATATGTCATTTCACTTATAACTTTTTAAACATTATGCATTTAATGTTTTTTATTTCATGTTCAAGATAACTTTGTCAATACATGTAACTCATTTAAGAACTTTTGATAAGACACCATGTACTGATTCATAACGGGGATAAAAATATCGTTTTGAATCAACGTATCGTTTAGCCTTTACAAGGCATTTACTAACAATGCTTCGTTTATTGATCTTTGTTCAGTATAAGAGCGCATTTAGAAAAGTGTTATTCAACACTTTTTTTTGGAGCAATATCTATAGCTTTAGCGCATTTGACAAAAACATCATTTAGCATATTATTTTGTAAGACATAATGAGAACTCGTTTAGCATTGTTTAGCAAGATATAGCAAGAGTGCGTTTAGTAAGACTTCTATATAACATATTGACATGTTACGATGATATCGTTTGATATTGCGTCGATTGTCATAATAGCGCGTTTACAAAAGACTTTCCTTTAAACATTTAGATATCACAACGCTTTTTCGTACGACGTCTTTCATTCAACGATATTCTTTTCACAAAGATAATATTTTGTTAAATACTCATTTTGTTTATCGTTGTTTGTTAAACATAAAAACATGAAGGCGTTAGACGTTCCTGTCTTATGAACAATCTTGACTTAACACAACTTATCAATAAATATGAGTTTACCTATATCATTCCATCAAACCCTGCCATGCCTTCTAAACCAATCTTTGATATCTTAGTATCGTCTTTTCACAAAAACAAAAATAACGATGACATTATAATTTATTTAATTCCTAACAAGAAGTATTATCAAGTTTCTTATATAAATAACTCGTATTTTCAACAATGATATCAAAATCAATGGTTTGTCTTAGCATTCAACTTAGAAAAAGATAAATTTGTCTTGTTATAATAAGATTCAATAGTTAAAGTTAGTAAAAACGTATTTAAACGAATAGTTGAAATAAATATGTCTGATATATACACATTTTTACTAAGTTATTTTATATATTTCACCTCTTTGTAAGCTTTAAATATATGGGAAAAAAATGAAAAATAGTAGGTAAATATTAAGAATGGAGCAAGCTCACGAGCCTAAACTAATTAGTTCTTGACAAATTTTAGATAATAAAATATTTATAGTTGTATTTATGACTATTTTTGTTCTATGTCCAAATTATATTATATATTAAATTAAATGAAATTGATGAAATATCATCTAATTAAAATTTATATAGATTTATAAATCAAACCCATGCAATTAAATTTCTAAAAAATATTCTCTAAGCAATTAAGTCATGAATGCAATTAAAAACATTAACATTTGATTAACAAATAATTCGATTACTATATAATAAGAGATTTAAAGCATAGAAAACGTATTTTAAAATAAAATAGATAGAGACCTTTAAAAAAACCCTGAATATGACATTTTTTGAAGAAACACACTGGTTAACTAAAGTTCCAATTGAATATTCACAGTGTCTTTGTTCATTTTTCTTGAAATGCTGGAAGATGACAGAGAAACTAAATTTACTGCACATAAAGATAGTATTCGACTACTAAGATTCTAGAACACGACCAAATTTAAACCTTACTGTAAACATACCTTTCCTAAATTCCTTTTTCATTAAAAAATAAAAAGGCTAAAGATGCTTCCATGTCCAATGGTAATGTGTTTATGTTGTTCTGGATCAGAGTCTCCATCACCGTTTGCTATGAGACACTGTCTGCATGATGACAGAGAAATATAACCCCATGAGATTCATTCGAGTACCACGAACATGGGAAAGACAAAAATAATACATAATAAATCATTGTCACATCCGACAACTAAACCTATGCTAACACTGAGATGAGAAAGATTTAACCATGTAATACAAATACCAAATATGGTCTCTAACAAAGAAAAAAAAAACAAAAAATATTATTCAAGGCAATGAGTGCGTGTGTTTGGCCTAGTACATTTATCTTATTTAAAAAATATATAATGTAACTTCAAATAATATAATAATGTCTCTCACGGTTCCTTCTAAAGAATGCCTCCCACTGCTATAGTGTAAGTTTGTTAAACTAATTGAGATAAGATATTATATTATTCATGAATTTAAGTATTATTGAAGAATAAAACAAAGAATGAAAATATTTTCAATAGAAAAAATATCGAATGACTTAAATATAATAAAAATATTAATATATACTATTATCAAAGTTGTCTATTAAAATAATAGTTATACAATTTTCAAATACAAAGCATACAGCATTATTAAAAGACTATCATTGTAAACATATTATTAAAAAAAATAGTACTAATAATACTGCTACAACAAATAATATCACTTAAACAAACAAAAAACTGTGGAAATTTAGAATAATAGTCAATCGAACTTTTCATAAATATATTTTAAAAATAGGATAATATCATTATTAAAATATAGAATAAGCTTGCCGATCCTGCCACATCATACATTCCGAATTAGTAAAAGAAAAGTGGAGGTCTTGGATGAGTAAAATATACTACATTTCATTTAAGTTTTATTTTATTTAATCTGATCTTAAATGATGCAAGTCATAGAAATTAATCTTCCTAAATTCTATTTTATTTCATATTTTTTTTTTCGTATAATGTAATATAACTTTTAAGTTTCTTTGAAGTATTTTAATTTTTTGTTTTTTTCTAAATATTTTATTTTCTTCTGATCTTATGATATAATAAAAATCTTAAAAATATTTATTTTCATTTACATATATGTGTGTGTCTATATAAATATAAATATAAATATAAATATATATATATATATATATATATATATATATATCCCATGTTTGATAGAGCAATTTTATTCTTTAATAAATAAAAAATAATTTACTTATTTAATAAAATAGGCAATTGAACAATTTCTCTTTATTTTAAAATTAGTAAATAATTTTTTTTTTAAATAATCATCACATTATTTTTAACACTATTCTTACAAAATTACACATTTTTAAATTATATATTCTTTTAATATTTTTTAATATCATTCCTATAAAATTATATCATTTTTAAATCCTTAATTATTTTAAATGTATGGGTTCTCATTATCTAACTATTTTCTGAGACGGCAAGATTTTTAATTATTATATGGCCATCACTATATTAACAGTCAACAATCATAGCATCAATATGCAGAGGCGCTCAAATCTTGTGTTAGAGATATTTACAACAATAAATAATACTATGGCTCAAGCAGTTCACTTATAGCCCTGATTCTTAACAACAATCATAATGTTCTATTATTGTCCCATATCATCCTCATAAGATAATAAGCATAAAAAAAATGCTGAATAAACAACACCATTGATTACTTTTCAGGTAGAATTTATGACAATGGAATTCATAGATGAATGATTGGCCTTTAATTTACAACTAACTGTGTTGTTTTTTCTTTTATAATTTTAATCATTTCAGTGCTGCAGACAGCAGTTGTTACTTGTCAATCAATCATAATCTCAAGTACAACACTGCTGCGGTCCATCACACACTCAAAACTAAAAAAATGAGAAAATGCAAACGAAAATAGGCTTGCAGTTCCTTTGGCTGAAGTTCTGAGACAGATGTTCTGATACAAGAGACAGAGTTTGACCTATGAAGTGATAATAGAAAAATGTTTCCTTAAAGCAAAATTTTCTGATTTGCCTTTTATTTAAAAAACATGACCAATAGATGTGAAGTTTGATGACAGAAACACAATACTGATATGGCTGTTTTTATTGGGTGATGAAGAAGGTAAATAAGGCAGGGTGAACGCTTTTAAAAGAGTTTCGAGGCATGAATTACTGATGTATCTTACATCGCNTAATTTACAACTAACTGTGTTGTTTTTTCTTTTATAATTTTAATCATTTCAGTGCTGCAGACAGCAGTTGTTACTTGTCAATCAATCATAATCTCAAGTACAACACTGCTGCGGTCCATCACACACTCAAAACTAAGAAAATGAGAAAATGCAAACGAAAATAGGCTTGCAGTTCCTTTGGCTGAAGTTCTGAGACAGATGTTCTGATACAAGAGACAGAGTTTGACCTATGAAGTGATAATAGAAAAATGTTTCCTTAAAGCAAAATTTTCTGATTTGCCTTTTATTTAAAAAACATGACCAATAGATGTGAAGTTTGATGACAGAAACACAATACTGATATGGCTGTTTTTATTGGGTGATGAAGAAGGTAAATAAGGCAGGGTGAACGCTTTTAAAAGAGTTTCGAGGCATGAATTACTGATGTATCTTACATCACATCTGTAATTAAAAATATCATGAGCTAGAAAATGCCACAATTCCTCATCTTCAAAAATCAGATGCCAACAAAAGCCTGGGTAGAACTCAGAATGAACAAGAAAACACTTTAACATGTAAGTTTCAAAAGAAAGGTGTATCATGCTATGGCAGATACCCGTTATGAGAATCATTAATCAAATGATTCAGAGTCAATATCCGCTTTAAAACAACAAGGCCACTAAAATACTGTTACCTATAACTAAACAGATTAATTATAATCAATCAAAATAGCATATAAATAACAACACCACAATAACTAAAAATGCATAATAACATTAAATAAAGTTATAGTATTCATAAAAGAAGAAATTAAGAAGGCAAGCAATCAAACAGTGGTTCATGTTAATTTATTTTTGTTATTTGTGAATTTTGTCTTACATGTAGTGATTGGGATGAAAGGAAAGAGGGTAACTAACCAGTTGCAGAAGAACGCTTGGAGTTGGAGCGATTCATTTTTTGCAAGTGAAGCTGAGTTTCCATGAAGAGTTTCATTCTCTGGGTTTCCAAATCCTTAGCAAACTGCATTCTCTGTTTCTCCAACTCAACCATTTGCCTCTGTTTAGCTTCTTCAACTCTCTCATAAATCTCCCCAAACCTCTCCAACGCTTCTGCAACCTCTCTGTAACCAAATTCCCAATCCCTTCCTCTTTTCTTCTTCTCTCTCTTCTCACTCCCACTGCTCCATTTAGAACCGTTCGAATTATCGCTATCAGCCTCCGCGGCCGCCGCCGCCGCTGCCGCAAAAACCGAGAAATTCCGCCGGAAGTATGAGTCGGCAACGCTCTCTGCCGCTGGCGCCGCCGGCGTCGGCCGCTTCTGAGAGCGGGATCGAGGACCGACCGGAATGAGGGCCCACGCCGGAGACTTCGCCGGAGGAGTGCTCCGCCGATCGGCGGAGCCTGACTCCGGCGGGGAGGGCTTCTTTGCCGGGAAATTGTCGCCGATGAGGAACTCGAGGCGGCGGAAGAACGGCCAGGCGGTGGCGGAATCGCCGGAATCGGAAACCCTAGCCTTCTCGATCTTGTACTTCTTCTTGAGCGTGTCGATGCGGTTCTTGCACTGCACGTCGGTGCGGCGGGCCCTGGCGCCGGCGTTGCCGTGACGTGCGTTGACGGTGTCGGCAACCTCCTGCCAGTGCCTTTGGCGGAGGTTCCCGCGGTTGAGTTCGAGGTGGCGTTCTCCCCATGCCTCGATGAGCGTGAACGTGGCTTCCTCCGACCAGCAGTCTTCCCGGCCAGGAAACGGCGACGGCCGAGACGACGGAGGGGTTGCTGTGTGAGGCGGAGCTCCGGCGATGGAGTCCATGATGCGCGTGGCGGTGGCTGGGGCCTGGTGGTTTTAGATTAACGGTGGTATTTGGTGTTACGGTGAGTTCGGTTCGTCTGAGGAACCTTTGCCTATGTGCTACGACGTTTGGCGATTAACGTGTGGGAAGCACTGTTTTTTTATGTTTTTTTTTTAATTTTGTTTTGTAGGTTAGGGAATGTTTGTGGGCCCATATCATTTTCGAAATGTT